ACCCTCACATCACTATTAGCAAGTAATAACCCTTATATACTATTACCTTTGCTCTAATTTCTTCAGAGTTTGAAAAAAAATTAAATATAGCCCCTTTGTTTTATGGAGCTGTCTCACTTTATACTATGGACTAAACCAAAAAGATGCCAAACAAATTATCTTGAAATTCTTGAATTTGATTTTAGTGGTATTTTTTATGACACAATGGCTAAAAATTTTGCTCATTAATCTTATAAGTTGACAAGAATTCTGGGAATTTGTATATAACTAGCAGGAAAATGGTGCAAGCTAAAATATCTGATTCAGCGACAGAGATGATGAACAAAAAGATATTTATAGAAAGGACAAAAATTATGGTAACTAACATTTGAAGTTTAATTGTTCTAGACCTGATAGAATAGTGTCCTTTTTAACTTCAGAGTAGGAATGTAGAAATCTGTATATGTCATTTTTATATTGTGTGTCCCTGGAAATAAAAATTGTTTTTATATCAAATTTTTAAGAGGCCCAGTTTTTAAACTTTTCAAAAAAAAATATTATTGAGGTAACATTGGTTTACCGCACTGTACATGACTTAAAGGAACAGGTTCAAGGTTCACACCTCCTCAAATGGAAGTCACCCACCACATCACAGCCACCAGCAAGGCACTCTCAGTCCTAAAATTTACCACAGACCACTGGGTTCCTCCCCCAGTTTATCCCACCCCCACCTCTCACCCCCTCTAGTAACCTCAATTTTACAGTCCTATTTCTACAATTTGTTTTGGTTTATTAGTTTTGTCAGTTCTTTTGTTTCTCTACATTCCACATATGTGGAATCATCTGGTGCTTGGCTTTCTCCTTCAGAAAATTAATTTGAAATTAACAGAAGTATACTTTGAAATAAGCATATAAAATGACTGAAATTCTCACAAACTTCATCTAGCAATAGTGCTCCTAACAACAGCAACAAAAACCAAAAACAGGAAATCTGAGCTACTTTCATATTTTCTTTCTAGTCAATGAAACACTGGATAAAAGTTATGCTGTGGACTACCCAGGATTTCCACTATGCACATACATGCACGGAATGCACATGACAGAGTGTAAGGAAAGGGTTATTACTATTCCCATCTCCAGACACAGAGACATCAGGGCAGGTAGAGGAAATCATACCCATAATTACAGTGAGGGCTATGTTTATTGTCCTGTTCCTCTGTCTTGGAGAACACAGAAGAAAACAAAATATTCAGGGCCTCCCAGTGGCGCAGCGGTTGAGCGCTGGGTTGAGAAGCTGCCCGCAGCCTCTGCAGCGCTGGTTTGATCCCCGGCTGCTCCCTGGCCACTAGAGGAGGGTCCCACATGGCGCGCAGACCTCTCCTGCCGCCCGCTGCTCCCCTCAGCAGTGTGCTTAGTCACTCTGGTGAACTCTCTCACCCTCCTGCGCTTCTGACTGTACCCAGTGCTTGTATAAATAAATAAATAAATAAATAAATAAATAAATCTTTAAAAAAACTATTAAAAAAAGCAAAATATTCAAACATTTATCATATGGCAAGCACTTTACACATATTAATTCATGTATTTTTGAGCATATCATTTATATAATGCTTTCCTTCTAAACAGAAGCAGAGAAAAAGGTAAATAATTTGCTAAAAGTGACACAGGAAATGCTAGAATTAAATTCTAAAAATGAGTTTTTTTGGCTTCTAGCCCATTTTCTTTAGTTATAGCATATACTCTCCAGTATGAATTAAATGAATGTACTTATTGGCAACTATGTATGTGAGTAGTACATGTTCATTTACTGTACCACACTACAAGTAACATTTGTGTGTGCATATAAACACATATATGCAGACTGTTCTCAATTGAAAACACTTAGTTTCCCCCCTCCCCGATTTCCTGAATTTTCACCAGTTACTTTTATCTTATATGTAGCAAAAAAAAGAGCTTTAATCCTTTAATCTGGACCTGATTTAAGATAAGATATAAGTTATTAAAAACAACCAGAGAGGAGTGATATCTTCCCTGAAGGTAGAGTTTCAACAGAAGTTGAAAAGAGTTAAGAACTGGAAGGCAACAACCTGTATTTATGTCATTAATTTTGAAGTGTCTTCTCAAACTGTTAAGCACATTTACATTCAATTTTCAGCTCATCTATAAGGGATATTTGAATGATCCACACCTCTTCTCTACTGTTAACATAGATAATTAAGAGCTGTCTATAGTCAATTTTTTTTTAAGAAAACATGGCTATTACACCAGTAACAATATATACACAGTGACAAATGCAGAAAAGACCTAAAAGACACTGGAATTCAATGGTGACTGAAATATAAAATATGATAGCCTTTATGTATTCCTACAATGTGTCATTTTATGTGGATTTTCCAAAAGAGCTCATGAATAATAGACTATAAACCCTCCAATTTTATCTAAGGTCAAATCAGATTGCAGTAAAATTTAAGTTGTATAATGCCTAGATATTTCAAGTAATGACATACTGCAGATAGGTAAAAACAAACAGCATTCAAAAGTTAATCCAATATTAAAGGACCACCGTTTCCTGCAGAGTAAAAACATAGAAAGATTTGCAAAAAAGGCAAAGTAAATAAAATGACCACTAAATCTATTGATAATATTATAAACACAGTATGACAGTTTTAATGATTAGTTGATAAGTATGGTTTCTTGGCTATGTAGGAGAAGGGAGAAAAAGAAGGTCAATAAACATAATCATGCATGCTCTATAAGCTAATGTGTTAGAAGTAGGAAAAAATCTTAAACTTAATGGGAACCATTATAATTCAATAGGTATCTAGCTAATTCTACCAATAACCAACCACTTCCAGCATTAGTAATGAGAACTAACTCTGACCCGAAAGTCTAGGGACCTAATAGCACTAAGTTATTCCATTTCAAATGCATTTAGTTTTATGCCCCATTAATTTAACATTTATATTAATTTTTAACATTAGGCTTGAATTCATTGTAAATTCATGTGCAGTTTTGCTGGCATTGCCACAGATTTTTTTCTTACAATAAATTTTACTCTATAATATGGAAATGTTTCCTGACTCGGAAATAATTGTATGATGCCAGGAGGCAAAGGTTAGATGAAAAAGAACTTTCATATTAGGGAATGGTGAGAACACTTTAGATGGTGGGAAAAATAACTTGGGAAAGAAAAACCTTCAAATAGGATGTTGTAAAGAAAGAATGGATATTTCCAAAGTTGCTTATACTTTCAAAGTTGGTGTCCCTAGCCCAAAATACAATGTCTTTATAATGTTAATGCAAAACATTATATGTTGGAAATAGGTTTACCAATTTATTGGAAGTTTGGCCTATGTTATGGCAATGGGTTAGATTCCCTAGATTTCATTTAAGAAAACACAAGGGGAAAGATTTGGGACTATGCCATTGACGCATGCTAGTTAAGATAACTAAGAAGTGTATTTCAGAGATTAAACCATTTATAAAATTGCTTTTGGCACCTAAACAGATTTGGCTGCCACAATGCTAGAAACAATGAAGCCATTTTTGGTTTTTATTTAATATGATTGAACTTATATATCCTACCTTACAAAGACCTGTCAAGTTCAGGAGGCTATGTCATGAATATGAATTATCATGAGTACACAGTTAATGATATTAGTAGATCAATATACAATTTTTTCTATTACTATCCAAGGTATAACCCTGGTTTATGAGACAGGAAAAATGAGTATGTTCAGTAATATTAGTCTACATAAAAATATCTTCAGAAGCTAGGCCATGTCATTAGTCATTGTAAGAATGTCTCCAGATATATGTAAGTCAAAAGAAAGTTTATGTGGCAGAATTATGTAAGGAAACTTACAATAGTGCCTGCCCACAAACCATGCAATTTGGAAACAGCCAAGAAACAAAACCATAGAAAAGGAGATATAAATACAACATGTATTAGGGGTTATTATGCAACTATAAAGATTCAATATGATCCTGGAAATATAGCAAAAAATAGTTATGGAAAAGAAGCTATTTCTTATGCTCAGTAGCTAATTTTCAAACATATGTACCTGTATTTGAAACTTTGAGCATTTCACACATTTTTCTGTATCTGAAAAAAAAATGGATCCAGACTGATATTGTGTATCAATATAGCTGAAAACAATTAAATATAAAGGTAGCCAAAAGCAAAGTTCAATAAGAATTCTAAAGAAGGATATTATTCTGATGCTGATAAATATTCTGATGTCTACTTTGCTCATATTGGAAAAGAATAATTTTCTCTTCAATTTTCCTATAAAGGATAAAATATTTAGAGTAAAATCTCATAAACTTTTTAGTTGAATAAAAAGTTAGACTAAAGTGTTTAGATCAAACTTCGCATAATTTAAAAAAATTAAATAATATATAACTCCATTTTGACAATATATATTTCAATAACTAACAGTTAACTTAGTTTTCCATATAATTAACAATAAAAACATTATATATTTTCATTTTTAAATGTTCAAGGGCATTAGATATATGAAAATAACACATATTTTGATAGTCTCATCTAGAAAATTAAGAATGCATATACTTCAGAACAAATGTATTTAATACATGGTAACACTATGTACATAAAATTTTCTCATCCAAATGACTATGAAAATTAAATAGGAAATACTAATATTAATTATTTGAAGGAGAACAAATGTTAAGATGATAGAGGTAGTATAAAAACCCATCCATAATTCATATAACACATATATCTTCCCATTTGTGGACATTTTACTGGAACTACCATATGTTATTTAAGCATACTAAAATAAAATAATATGATAGTGCTAGGACAGGTTTAAGTCCTAAGAATAGACTTAGTGAACATATGACCAAAATAGAATCAGTAATAATTACAGTTTAAATAATGGGTGTGACCATGATATGGTCTAATTATTGAATCCATTTTTAAAAAAAAGTACATTATACCAAATTTCAAAATGCATGCCATTTTCTTTTTCTTTTCTTTTTAGTGATTTTTAACTTACTGCTTTGTAAGTTCTCTTTTGTCCAGCATGTTTTCGAATTTGTTCTCCATTTGGCCCTGTTTCCACATGCATCGAATAGATAATGTCAAAGAAATCTTCAACCACAGCTACCCGCCGTAAAGACAGTTTCTCATCTACCCCTACGCCATCCTGGAAACAAATGCAATAAAAAAAAGCACAAGATTAATAAATATATGTACATCTAACACACACATTTAATACATAAAGTTGATTAAGTAAGAACATTTTTATACACTGTACCAAATCATCTGGATAAGAAACTTAAAAAATCATGAATGATTATCCAATCATCTTAACATTTTCATTTAGAATTTTAAGAACCATGAGGAAGATATTTGACATAATCATACTGACCCATAAATGTCATCTTTTAGGATTTTATGACTTTTTTATAGCTATCAGTATATCTTTTCAATTACTCTAAAATACGTTGTGCAGTATATCATTTAAATTATCCTAAAATATATTTAGAGCTATTATTTTTGTTGCAATAATTTCATTCTAAAGTTTGATTCATATATGCTCTCATTATTTATTCTGTTGCTGAATACAAGAAGATGTTAGAGAAATCAAGGAAATAAAGTAGAATCACTACCCTTGAACATCAAGTAATCTAGAAAAGAAAAAACATTGACTGTGCTATTGGTATTAGACTAAAAGGCAGTATTTGTTAAAGGTTGAAATTGTGAGCTTTAAAGATTATCTAGCTGTGAAATTTGGATCTTCCATTCAGAAGTTGTATGGTTTTTTCAAATCACTTAAAACCTCTCTAAATTCCGTTTTCTCAATTTTAGTTTTCTGAGCTGTAATGCAGGTATAATAGATCCCACATCACAAAACTGTTGTAAGACTTAAATAAGGCAAGGCATGTGATATTGGCATATAATGGACACTGAATAAATGGTGGCTCTTCTCATTTTGATGATCACAATAAAAATATAAGCAAAGCATGTAGAAGTTCAGAGAATTGATAAATCATCTCTTGCAAAGCTTTTTGGAAGAAATCAAATCTGACATGGGTGAGAGTTCAAGCAGGGTATATGACAGGCAATAGGAAGTGTAACAAAGAGACAAAAATACCCATAGAGAAAAATAGAAACATGTTTGGAGTGAAACAAGAAGGAAATTTAAATATATAACTACACGTAGAAAGATTTTATGTATAGAGCTATAAACACATGCAGCCGAGCAGGTAATCAGTCAAATGGCAAAAGTCTGTTTGAAGAGTAGTCCCAAAACAATGAACTCATTTCAAAATGGAAAGTCATATGAAGCTTTTTGTTAGTTTGGGAGGTATTTTTCTCTGATTTATAATAAATTTCAGAGTAGCAGTGCTACTCTGTTATATGCTAGGTCAAACAGATAGTTCATCTTTGTTAAATCTGAAATGCTCCTTCAAAAATTATCTATGAAGCATATGATTCTTTAGTTCTTAGAACTTTCTCACTTCTCTCCTTTACCATCTTGAGGTCTCTTTTATCTATACTGGGCCCATGGGTACTTCCTCTTTATCGTGTTATGTAAGACCAGCATTTACTGAGAGTGGAAGCTACATGACACATGAATGCAGTTGGAAAATGAATGGAAAATGAATGCAGTTGAGAGGGCAGTGCCTTGGAAGGACCATCTCAGATGCCCACCCTGTATGTCATAGGTTGAAATACAAATTTTAGCTCTACCCACCAGTGAAACATCCACAAAAACTTTGCTTCTTTCTCCCCACTCATAAATTTTTACAATTTCCTCTTAGTTCTTTTGCTAGTAGCCATAAATATCATAACTTTGTACAATTACTAAACCATAAGTGATGTAGGAATCATAGTCTGTATTTTTATTTCTTCAACAAGCATCCTACAAGGACCAAATTTTGCAAAGCCCTCAGTTAAGTCCTGAGGTGTAAAAGACAGATAATCCAGATCTTTGGTGTATTTACAGACTAGTACAGAAAGTAAATACTGAATAAAAACATGACTAGGATTGTATAAGGTTTCTGAAAAATTGCTGCAAAGTAGATGGGTTGAAACAAGAGAAATTCATTTGCTCATAGTCAGTCTTGGAGATCATAAACTCATAATCAAAGTGTTGGCAGACTTTCTGGAAGTTCTAGGGGAGATTCCATTCTTTGTTTCTTCCAATTTCGTTAGTTGCCAGTATTCCATGGCTTAGGTCATATTACACTGGCTGATTTTAAAACCTCTTCACCGTGTCTCTCCTCTGTGTGTTTCTCTCTTATAAGAACCCAATTTATATGATAGTATAGATAATCCTCAGTAATCTTGTCATCTCAAGATCAGTAATTTAATTACATCCACAAAGAATCTTTTACAAATAAAGTTAGAGTTAAAATTGCAGAAATTAGAACTTGAAATCTCTGGGTAGCATTATTCAAACAATTATCTGGATGATATGAGAGTATAAGACATGCAAGCCATATTATAGGAGCATATATAGGCAATATTTCACAATTGTTAACAGTCAACATTCTTTCAAGAAATCATAAGTTTAATGCTTATCAAGGTAATATTGAAATCACATATATTGTGGGAGAGAAACCATTTATTATCTTCTATCATGTGGACCTGCTTCCTTGCAACTATGAGTCAAGCACAATTCACATCAGTTGTCTTTTACTAAAAATCAAAAATGTCTTTCAGCCATGGGGCCGTTAATAAAAATGAGTTATATGTTCATGGTAAGAAAATAAAGAAGAATGATGGGCCCTTCAGAAACTGGAAGAAAAATATTCAAAGAGCTTAGTGCTAAACAAATTCTAAGAACCATAAACACAAAGAAATTCATAAAGAGAAACAATATAGTGGAAACATTGAATGCCAAAGACAAGGAGAAAACCTTGAAAGTGGCAAGAGATAAGTGACTCATTACATTGAAGGAAATCCAGGATTAAAAGATCATTTCTTAAAAGACACACGGGAGGTGAGAAGACAGTGGAATGACATATTCAAAGTGCTAAATATAAAAACTGTCAAACAAAAACCTTATATCCTAAAAAAAACTATCTTTTAAAAATGAAGGTGAATTAAAGATAATCCCAGGTAAAAGAGAATTCAATTCCGGTAAGCATGCCTTATAATAAACACTAGGGGAAAGTAGTACTTTCAGGTTGAAAGTAAGTGGTGAGTGACATCTAACAGTAATTCAAAGCCACATGAAAATGCCAACAGCTCCATAAAAGTTAAGGTTAATTAATTATTTATTTGATAAATAGCAAAACAGTGTAATTTCATATTTATTTTTCTCTTGACTGATGTAAAATGCGGTTGCTTAATACAACATATAAATAATTGTATAATTGAGACAATTGATTTTTTGACAATACAATTTTTTGAGACAATTGTATAATTGATTTCTATATTATATAGAAATGTAATATATTTGATAATAGCAGCAAAAAAGAAGGAACACAACTGCATTGGCATTTGGAGAGAAAATAACACAGAATGGGAAGTCAAATCCACAGGTAGGAAGAAAGAGACCCAGAAAGGTTAAATGAGAAAATGAATGTTAAAAACTTTATAAATATGTATTTTTTCACATCTTTCAGTACGTTAAAATGTCCAAAATTGTATAAGCTAAAAAAATTATAACATACATACATATATCTCAAAGATAAAAAAGATGAAAAAATAGAATGACATAGGAATAAAATTTCTATATTTAGGGGCCTCCCTGGTTGCACAAGGGGTTAAGACACAACCTGTGAAGCTGTTGGCAGCCACTGCAGCATGGGTTTGATCCCAGGCCTGTGAGTTACCCGCATGGCACAGCAGACCTCTTCTGGCTCGCCCGCTGCTCCCCTCAGCAGTGTATTTCACTCAGTCTACCAGTTCTGTTCCCCACTCTGTCTCTGGTGAATCCTCTCACCCCCTCCCACACACACACACCTCTGGCCTGTACCCCAGTTCTTATATCATAAATAAATCTTTTAAAAATTTTCTGTATTAGATTTATAACTACCTTAGTATATATATCCAAAGTAAATTCTGAAAAATTAAAAAGTATATTGTTATCCCTAGAGAAGCCAAAATAATCCCAAAATTTGAAACACACTGAAGGACTTAAGATTTTATAAAGGAAAATATACACTGAAAAAGCCAATAAATGGAGAATAGAGAGGATATATATGTAGATTATACACAACAAAAAAGCAAAATCATCAATGGAAATCCAATAATATCAATAATAACACTAAGTATAAAAGAAATAAGTAACCCAAACAAAAGACAAATGTATCATATTGGTTGTTAACCACACATCCTACTCTGTTATCTAGAAGAGACACAATCTGATTCAAAGACAAAAAAAAATGAAGATAAAAAGATAGACCATGCAGTTAATAAAGTAAAACCACTAGAATATCTATATTATTAAACATACACTTAAAACAAAAAGAAACTAATGATAAAGAAGAATATTTCATAAATAGATCAGTTTCCCAAAAAGACACCATAATTATAGTTTATATATGTGTCAAATAATAGAGCTCCAAGAGGTATAGACACACACACACATTAGATCCCTATACAAAATGAATAATTCTTAGAAACATACAAATTACTGACAAATTACTGAAAAATAAGAAAATGTGAATAAACCTGTCACAAGTAAAAGAACAAAATTAGTAATGTAAAAAAAAAATTCTACAAAGAAAAGCCAGACAGCGTGGTGCTAGCATCAGAATAGAAATGTAGCTCACTAGGACAGAACTGAGATTCCAGAGATAGCGCCCTACACTACAGGAATATAAAGACAATGCATGAGGAAAAATTAGTCTTTTTAATAAATGGTGCTGGGACAACTGGATACCTACATGCAGAAGAAAGGATAATTTCTACTGCACACCATGCAAAAAATTAAAAAAAAAAAGGATCATAGATCTAGACATAGAAGTCAAAACTTAAAATTCTTAGAAGAAAATAGGAGCAAATGTTGATAACCTGGGTAAGGCAAGGTTATCCTAGTTATGACACCAAGAGTAAAATAAAACAATTTGATAAATTGAACTACAGCAGAATTTAAACAATATATATGGTTACAATTATCCTTTGCAAAAAGTGAAATAAAAACCCACAGAAATGGAAGAAAATATTTGAAAGATATATCTTTATGTA